GGGGGGGGGAAGGGGGGGCTGAGGGAGGGAAAATGTGGTCATCGCCTCATCCGAAAACTTGCCTTGCATATGATTTGGGCCATTCCAATTGAGGCCGAGCAGTTCCTGCCACAATCCGGCGGATCCCTAGGACTGCTGCCGGTTGATATACTGCAATTGAAACCAAGTGACAGCAGAGAGATTGACAAATGAAGTAGTGATGAGAAACACATAGGAATGTACCATGGGCATAATACAACCCTCATGCGGCTGCTGTGATTGCCTTCTGCTCGATTTCAATGCAATGAGAAAGTGGCAGACAGTGTGAGGAGAGATCCTAAGCAAGAACATAACTGGTGCAGATCATCAGTGCGGAGAAGCAGTGGCACAAATAAAGAATGCTGAAGGGAAAGTGAACCAATGACTCACCAAGTGAAGTCTACTTTACTGCCTAGTTAGCTTCCCTTCTGTTTCAGAAGCAAAAGATAGCACAAAAGAAAGGATGATAGGGTCCCTGAAAGAAGGGATGAAAGAATGTGAGAAAGGACAGGAAAGTAAAGGGGAAGACAAGCAAGAGCAGAAGTCAAAGAAAGAAATGGAGGGAGGGACAGAAGGGGGGGAGGGAGGGAAAGGATGGCAGTGAGGGAGAAAGGGAGGAAGGATGGAGGGAGGAAAGGAGAAGAGAGGGAGGGAGGGAAGGACGAACAGAGGGATGGGGACAGAGAGAGGAGGGAGAGGAGAGAGCGGGAGAGCGAGGGGGAAGGGAGGGTGACATCATTTGGCTGAAAAGTGGCCAGCGCTTGCCAGGTATCTAAGCGGCTGACACTGGTTGGATGTGGATCCAGATGACTAGACACTACTGAGGCAGCATGCACAATACCATAGCCAAGAAGCCATGTATTCAACATGTTTCGTGTTAATAACCACTTTTCACGGGTAGAGCACATGTTCCTCAGCATGTACCCAATCACTCCCCAAGGGACGTAACTGGTGCTGGCTCTGTCCGCAGATTTCACTTGAGATGCCTTGGCCCATCCCCAACGACATCATGCAATGTACCATTATGGATGGCCTCACTTCTTTAAAGCTACGACCACTTCTTATGCTTGATGCTTGTGGCTAAAATTAAAATTACCCTTCACAAGTTCTTTGAAAAAAAAGCAACAAAAAACAACCACCCCTGTATATTCTGGGGGCCAACAGTGCAACAAGTAGTAAAGTCTATTCACAAAGAGAATTTTCTGAGAGACATTGTGCCCACTCACATAATAGTGAAAAATTGCTCCGTGATATGGTCTGCCGGCTCAAGACATCTGACATGCACATCCACTCAAAGCACTCAACCTGTTACAGACAACCACCATTGCCATCAATTGGCCAGTGTCGCAAACTTGCCAGGAATTGGCCACGAAGCAGAGATGAGCAATGCTCTAGAAACAAAATCTCAGCTTGCACTTTGCCTTTCCATTGCTCTTTTCGTCCTCAATCTCACTCTACTTCTTCTCGAAGAAGACGTCATTGGCGTGGTATTCCCTCCTCTCTTCTGCTTCTCCCTGCTCGATCCCTTCTCTCTTTTGTTCTCTCTCTGCTTTCAACCTCATCCATTCATCCCTCTCCACTTCTGCCATCGTTGTTTTTTTGTCTACTTTCTCAAGCTTTTCTGTGATAATCTTCAGCGACTTCCCAAGTGTGGTTGTGAGCACGTTTTCAATTCATCACTTTTATGAAGTTTTATCGTGTTTGTTGAACTTTGTTCAGCTAAGGACAAACACGATAGATCTCCCTTCACTCTGCCAATCAAGTATTACATTCTTTTCAGCTTCTTCGACTGCTTGCTTCATTTGATTTACTCTAGTATATCCATCTATTCCTTTGTCAAGGAGTACTCTCTACTCTGGCCCAAGAAAAGCATCCGCAGTTGTCAAACCACTGCACATACCATTATAGTACTAGCCATTACTCTGCCCAGAAAATTGGCGATTATACTGACCATTTAGACCTCATGGCTGTATTCCCCAGCCATCCACTGCAGGAAACTCCTGCATTTGTGCTCCCATTTCTGGCGTGTGCTTGGGTTGCGCCATTGGATGCTGGTGACTGGCACTAGAAGGGCTTGCTGATAAGGAGTCTGCATTATAGGGGCTTGAACTCCCCAAGCTGGCATCATTGGTTTCCCTTTTCCCTACTGGTGTGTGCAACATTCCTTGTGGCCCAGAACACTGAAAACACGAAAAAGATATCGAGTGCTTCAACACTTCTTCAGGCCTTCACCATATGTGTGTTGTAGATTGTCACCACAACAGCCCCTGTTCCACCCAAAATCGAAGCAACTTTACCTCTGTTGCAGGCAATGAAACACACACACATGTGCTTGTGTCACAAGTGGTTAATGGGGATCCCCACTTTCCAGCCCTGGGTAACGGGTCCAAAAAGTGCACTTTTGCCTGGCTGTTTTGTATGTTTTATTTCTTTTTTCGGTTTTTTTTTGCACTTGGTTGGTATGGTCTCCACTGAGTCCACTCTATGAATCGGTGGCAAGTTTGATTAAAATGACCCTTTGGTTTTCTTATGAATGGCATGGCAAGTGGTCTGAAAATTAGGGTCTCCGTTAACCTTCCCTCGCTTGTGTGTGTGTGTGTGTGTG